CGCAGGAACACCTCGATGTGGGATTTCTCCTGGGGGTGGGGATGGGTGGGTGAGGCAGAGCTGCTGGGACCAGCACTGGCCCATAACTTCTGACCTTGCCCTGCAGGGCTGCTATGCCAGCAGGTCCCCAGCTCCCACAGCTCTCCTGCCCATGTTTCTCTGCATTGCCTTCCTCCCTCTCCTTATTGTGACCCACTGTGCTGCTCCTGTCTGCTCTCCCAAACACATCCACCTTCCCCCTAACCTTGACAATCCTGCGCCCCTGGATTCCCAGGGGGTCCTGGTTGATCCGGATCATCAGGCGGTTCTGCAGGATCTCCTTGGCACTCGGGGAGATGGTGCGGAGATCCGTGGACATGAGGAGTGGGGCTGCCATCACCGTCCACAAGGCCATTTGGGAGCGGGCCTGCTCGTAGCTAAGGCCAAAGTTTCCAATGATGAGCTGGAGGGGAGAGGGGGAAAAGACAGGAGAGGCAGAAAAGGGTTAGAAACTGGCCTGCTTTGCCACACTTGGTGATGCTGCAGCTTCCTGGGGGGAAACCTCACACGCTTTTGCAGCCTACCACTGCTGGGCCATCCCACCCCTGCTAGGTGCTGAGCTGTCAGCACACATTCAAACGCGCTCATGAACACTCTTCGCTTCACCGCTATCCCCACTCAGGCTGTGCAGGGGAGGACAGGGATACCTGGACAACAGGACAAGTACACTCGAGTGGTGAAGGGTTTGTTGCAACCACAGGCTTTTCCCACAGCTTAGCTAAGGGCAACATGAGCTTTGCCTCTCTGCAGCAAGAGGGCTCCTGCTCCTGGCGCTCTTCGTTCACCCTGTACCTAGAAGGGGATCCCTGGAGAATCCCCATCCCTGGCCAGGGTCAGTGCACCCACCACCCAGCCGCACCGTGTCTGGGTCATTCCAGTGGCCGGGGCCAGCTGCCGGCTGCAGTACATCCTGGTTTGTGGAGAACCAGTCCAGGATGGAAAGCACACTGTCCCAGGAGTCCTGGATGTCATCGTAGTTACGCCACAGGTTGCAGACCTCTGCCAGGACGGTGTAGTTCACCTGGAGAGGAGCACAGGGTCAGGCAGGAGGGAGAAAGGACAGGGTCTGCAAGCTGGGGGAGAAGCAGCAGCCAGATTTGTTGAGAGTTGCAGCGTCCAAAAGATGTTTGGTGTTTGCAAAGCACAAGGATGTGTAGCAGGGCAGCACCACTTAATGAAGGAGGACAGTCATATCCCAATATGATGGCACAACCCAGTATGATAGGATGTCTGACAAAACAACCGCAGAGGCCATGGGGAGATATGATCAGCTGCAAGAACGAGGGCAGCTCGGAATTGACTTAGAAGGTGGAAGAGGAAATAAATAAACGCAGTCAATTCTTGAGAAACGTTACTAGGAGGAACTTCCTATTTCAAGCACTTAAACCAGACAGGACCCATCTCAGAAGAACAGACTGTCAGGATCAACCCCACACCGGCTGAGCAAGGTGGAGAGGGCATGCCCCAGGGCCTTTTTCCCCCAAACTCCCATCACCTAGCCATGTTGAGAACCTCAAGTGTCCCCAGCTGCCTGGCAGTGAAGCCACACCCCTCTGAGGACCTACAGCCCTGTCCTACCACGGGCGGATCGATAAGTGAGGGGTAGCACCCAGTTCCTGCAGCACAGGGGACATGGGAAACAGCCACTGGACAGGACAACCCTCACCTTTGGGGGGAGCCCCCCCTGATACGCTGGCCAGCTGCAGGAGTAGACGATGGGGCGGCCCGTGGCATTCAAGGCCCTCGCCATTTCTGGGTAGCCTTAGGAAGAGAAGACAACTGGTAAAGGAGATGGCCAGCAGCAGCCTGTGTCCACAGCCTACCCAGTCAGGGGGACCCCAGGCCAGCCCGGCCTCCTGCCTTACACTGGCTCTAGGGCACCCAAACTCCTCCCTCTTTGCCCAAGAGCTGCAACGGGAGATGTGAGGGGAGAACCAAAGCTGGCCAAGCGTCTCTGCGGATGGCCACCTGCCCGGAGGGGAGAAACGCCAGCCGGCTGGGGAGCCTTTACCCTCCGCCTGCTCCTTTTCTGATGAGTAGCACCCATCCAGCTTCAGCATGTCCACGCCCCATTCCGCAAAAGTCTGGGCATCCTGCTCGACACGGTCCAGCGTGGTGCCTGGGTAGCCCCCACAGGTGAAGATGCCCAGGTCGCCATAAATGCCCAGCTTCAAGCCCCGGGAATGGACCTGCGAGGAGAGGAGAGCTGCAAGGAGGGCACGAGGGGGTCCGAGGTGCCTCCTGGGAACTGGTTGGCGTGGGGACATGGAGACCCTCCACTGTTCCCAGCAGGCACTCACATAGTCAGC